AGCTAATACCAATATGATAAACCCTTCCTTTCCTGCTGTGCAAACACCATTAGCAAGCTTTGCTTGCAACAAAATTATTATTGATGCTCAAAATGATATACAATGTTTTGAATGAAAAACAATATTTGTAATTCCATTCTTTTATTACCTGATGGCTACCCTATACCCGTATTTCACTCAGTACATCTTTTTTTATTATTTTTATTTTTTTTTAAGTCCAGAGATACTGCCTGAATGGAAAATGAAGAATTTGACTAAGATTTGGGTATGACCAGCAACCTGAGATCATAGCTACACATAGCAATCACTCTTATCAGCTGCTGGATGGCTGGAAATGCCAAAAAAATGGCTATCAGATATGTGCAAATGTTTGATCTGTGCAAATGATCAGTATGTGCATGGTAAATTCAGTTAACTTGGATTTATTGGACCCATAAAGATCAGCTGCAATAGTGGCATTTTTAGTAGGTCTAATGCATCCTGACTTACCCTGTGTATCTGGTTCATCAACCTACAAATAACTGAGAGGCTGAACAGATTTGGCATGTAGAACAGTGGATATGCATTATACAAATCAAGAAGAGTTATTGCAGCTTTCCTTTTGAGGCAGGGTGTTGTACCGTCGGCATACTCAGTTGGGAGTTTGGGAGAGCCTGGCAAAGGTATGGTATCTAGGTCTTCCCAGTGGGTCCTCAAGCTCAGCCAGAGGCTCAGATCTGCCTGGAATTCATTTATTGTATATTATGAATTGGGAAAAAAAAAAAAAAAGAAAAGACTTATTGTGAAAGCACTTCTTAAAATGCTAGAAGTACGATTTGAGATAGGGAATGGTATTGATCCTATTGTTTATTCAGAAAATCATGAGAAGAGTTTAATTAGCAAGTGTTGGGTTTGTGGCCACCGTGGCAGGATAGAAATAGAAAAGAACCTAAGATACGTTGAGTGGCATATAACATACACACTAGTGTTCAGGCATTTTCTTACAGAGAGGTGATTTCATAGTGATGCTGCCTATTTTCTGGTTTGCAAAACAGCTGTAGGAGATACAGACCGTGATGAGTCCGTTCATCATTACTTGGAAGCGAGGTCTGCAAAGGTTCGGACAGTACACTTCTCTCCCGGCCAAGCCTTCCGTTTTGTAGGCATGACTCTAAAATACTGCAGAATGTGTCTGAAAAGGTCCACATTGGGGTTTCTGAGGGCAGACTTAGGGCTTGATGTCTTATTTCTTCCTTTTTTTTTTTTTTTAAGTTGTTTCTTTTCCATATAATAAACTGGTGATATGAGACATATTTCCCCCCTTCCCTGACCTGACTGCATTTCTGTGCTTTATGCTGTTGAGCAGCATATCCTGCTTCCTGAATTCCTGCTTTTACTTGTCTTTTTAAATTCTTACTTAGAGACAATACACACTTACAAAAACTTTAGCTTATCTGTTGTCCATGTTACTTCAGTTGCAGGGAGCCTTCTGTTAGCAGAGAGTCCACTGCTATGGCATGTCACTCTGCTGTTGAAATGAACAATTTCCCTAATATATGAAGCAGAAAATTTTGCTGATGCCTGGTGTAGCTGAATTACATAAATTCAGCTTTTATTAAATATTTAACCTTAATAGAAAAGAGAAAACTTTATGTAGCTGGTGAAAAAGAATTTGTTGTAGTACCACCTTAGTGACTTGTGACTGTGAGGTTTAGCAGTGATCTTTCTTAAAGCAGTTTTAAGTCTGCTGTCTTAAAACAGATGATCTGGGACCATAGTGGTCCATGTCTGATACTTTCAGTGGTTCACTAAAACTCATTTATCTGATCCTGAATAGGAATGCATGGCAGGGGTTCCCAAATATTCAGAACAGACTGATAGCCTTCCAGAGGAGATGAGCTGCCATTAACTGATCTTTCTAATTAAATAATGAGCTTGGTCCTCCTCTCTAGATCTCTTAGAAAATCAGATTCAGCTGAACATGCTATTAGTGAAATGTTCACACTACATCAGCTATTTTTTTCTAAATGCTGTGGACTTTGCTTTTACTCTGTATTCTGTGACACTTAAAGGTTAATCCTTCGTAGCATTTTGTTGTCAGGTAAGTTGTAAATTTAGAATGTGACTGACCATTTACTGAAAACGAAAAAAAGCTAAACTGATTGGCTATTGCAGGAGACCAGAGAAAATAAACTCTTGCATGTGTTTAGATGAGAAGGAGTAATTTAAATTAAATCTGCTAAACCAGCAATTGCAGCTAATTTGATAATGGACATAATTCATTATTAATACACTATCTGCTGATCTCATAATTTTACCAGTTCTGTAATTGCGTAGGGATTTGCAAATCAGATAGAACCCTTTCAATGTTAAAAAAAAAAATGCTGAAAAAGGGAGTCTTCTCTATTTTACCTTCCTCTTCTGGTCTCCTTGAAAATGCACAAGGTGTTCTTTGGCAATTGCTTAGATTAGGACTGAAGTCAGAAATTGTAATTCTATACACATTTACTTAAATTACCCAACCCCCTGATGTAGACAGTCATATTTCAGGTTAATGTTCTTATTATTGTTTCATAAATAAATAAAAAGTTTCTATTCAACAAATTGGCATCATACTTGGAAGACTATTTTAAATATTGGTATAAGTATTTGAAAACTTAATATAATTAGGATTCTAAATCAAATTCCTCCATTTATTTTGGCATGCAAATTGTGAAGAATGAAATGTTTATTTAACGCATGTTGTTTAGCTGCATGGTTTTTTTCATAGTGCATAGTTTGACACAGATAGACACCCTTGGTAAACATGGGAGGTAACGATGGAACTTGAACTACGTGGGACACTACTTGATTGTGTTTTTTCATTACAGAAGCCTTAACAAGTCATCCTGCTTCTAAGAACTGTTCTAAATACCATGGTGCTATCCTGGACATCTTTTTAAATTGTTAAGAAGAGGAATTTACTCATGAAGGCTAGATATTCTTTTTTGTTGCATGATTGCAAATCAGGTTCCTTGCAACTCTTTTCCCATTCCCTGGCTTGGAACAGGTGCTTTTTTTCCTTTCAGATCAGCCAATCACAGTCCTTTAGAAATAAGAGATTTTTATATATCCAGCTCTTTCTGGAATATCCATGCATTTACTGCTCGTAAGGACAGAGTTATAAGAACTGTGACACACAATTACAAAAGCTCCCATATGCACAAGTATATTTTAACCATTCAGTTTAGATAGGGTAGATAGTATAATGTTACAAATTTCCTAATTTAATTTGCTTTTAACAACTATTTCAATACTTGTTAGAAGAAATCTTGGTATTAAATCCAGGGTGACTGGCTTGCAAGCCATTTTCTGTAAATGCCAACCACTCTGATAAATGACTTTTTAACTTCCCAGTATTCTGAACCGTGCTCATTCACTTATTAGCTCTGCAAACTCTCTGGCAGTGTCAGGGCCTCTTTTAACAGCTGAGTTACAATATAGCAATTATGGCTGCCCCAGTTATTGCACATGATTAGTTAGTAGTCTCATGAAATGAGTTGCAGTGTAATGCAACTGCTGCTTGTGCCAAGATGACAGCGAAATCTCTCTAACAGGACATTTTGGTGAAAATTTTAGTTTGCTACTTTAGAGGTTTTAGCATTGCCTTCCATGATACTCCTTTCTTGATCCAACAGAACTCTAGGCTGGTGGCACACAGGACTCATTATTTTGTTTAGCTGGGTTTTTGCAGGAGCAGCAGTGAATACAGTGCAAAATGATCATGGGTTTGGAAGGATTTTTTTCCTCTGGTTAAAAAATACTGCTAAATCACCAAGAGCTTAACGTTCAAGCAGGGTTGAGCAGTTGATGGTTAGAAGAAGTTAGCCCTTCCACAAATCCAGCCTTTATGCATAAGTTTTCAAGAGCGTTCTGAAACTGAAATGGACAGTTTGTTTTAAAGATTTTTGATGAAAATATCTAAGTCACAACAACTGCATGCAATGCTACAGGCTTGGGGAAGAGTGGCTGGAAAGCTGCCCAGTGGAAAAGGACCTGGGGGTGTTGGCTGACAGCCAGCTGAATGCGAGCCGGCAGTGTGCCCAGGTGGCCAAGGCGGCCAACATCATCCTGGCTTGTATCAGAAATAGTGTGGCCAGCAGGACCATGGCAGTGATCGTCCCTCTGTACTCGGCACTGGTGAGGCTGCACCTCGAGTACTGTGTTCAGTTTTGGGCCCCTCACTACAAGAAGGACATCGGGGTGCTGGAGCTTGTCCGGAGAAGGGCAACGAAGCTGGTGAAGGGTCTGGAGCACAAATCTGATGAAACAGGCTCTACAACTACCTGAAAGGAGGTTGTAGCTAGGTGGGGGGTGGGTCTCTTCTCCCAAGTAACAAGCGATAGGACAAGAGGAAATGGCCTCAAGTTGCGCCAGCGGAGGTTTAGATTGGATATTAGGAAAAATTTTTCCACCAAAAGGGTTGTCAGGCATTGGAACAGGCTGCCCAGGGAAATGATGGAATCGCCATACCTGGAGGTATTTACAAGATGTGTAGATGTGGTGCTTAGGGACATGGTTTAGTGGTGGACTTGGCAGTGCCAGGTAAACGGTTGGACTCGGTGATCTTAAAGGTCTTTTCCAACCTAAATGCTGTGATTCTAAGTCCATTTTCTGTTTTAACTGGCATGTTCTATGGGTAGCTAAGACATACCTCTGATCTCTGCTTAACGTTTTTTATTTACTAGCAAATATTTTTATATTTGTGGATACAGTGAATGTGCTTGTATACATTTTACACCTCTGGATTGTCAAGTTAATTGGGTTGAACAAATTCTTGATAAACCACCATCCAAGTTAGCACTGTTTTGTTGGATGAATGTGAATATTGCACTGGTTATTTAACCACTGCTATCTGAGAGACCAAAAATGTGTATCCTGCCACACAGGATTTTCTGAGTTGTGTATAGAGCTATAAATAACTTCTCAAGGTTCACCCAGGCTGATAACTGAAGACAGGCTGGAAAATAGATTGCTGAAACATGAGTGCTGAAACAGGTAACAAAAAGAATTAGTAACAAAGAGAAACACTGATAACACGTAGCTAGTGATTTGATGTCTATATTTTTGTGCTCCAAAGCCAGCATCCTAAGTGGGGAAAATGTACCAGTTTCCGAAGATGATGAGTCAGTATTGCGATACCCTGGTCTGCTCAGGAGGTGTTGGTTCAGGTCCAGTCAGGAACAAGGACAGGATGCAAGGAACCTGTTTTGTTACTAATTCCCTTTTTTTCCTGTGCTAAATATTGTTCTTGAGTTCTACAAAGAATGCCATGTTGATGGTACAAAAATTAATCTGTTTTAAAAAGAGGAAGAAATTGCACAAAAGAAGCTGATAACAGCATCTGAACCAAATATATCTTAACAAACTGAGCAGATTCTGTGTCTGCCGTACTTGGCCTGTGGCTTTTTGTACTTTACCACAAGAGGAGTAACATAATATATTCTTGAAGAAGTTGTATAGGAAATGTGAATATTTTGCTTCTGCAAATGCTTCTGAAGATCAGGCTCAACATGCATATTATAACTTAAACTGAAATAAACATTGTTACAAGACCAATATTAAGATTTGGAGGAAGATTTTTTTCTATGATTTTTCTGTGATTATCCCATAGTTGCCTACTGCAGAGTTTTTGCATCCTCCCTGGGAAAAACCACATATTTGATTACCAGGAACAGCAGGATTCTTCAATAGGTAGCTCTAAGGTTTGGTTTTTTTTGGAGGGCAGCTCCTGTGTCATCATAGAGTAATGCTCTGACTTGTCAGTCATGTCTAGAAATTACATGCTATACATAAATATGCATTTTATTGTGTGATACATCCAAGTAGGTAATAAACAATAGATTTCAACATCTTTTTAATATTTATTATGGGTATTAATCTTCAGAGACTTATTTAATAATTCTGCTTTACATCTAATTAGCGTATATTCTACAGAGACTTCAATAAACTCAAGGCTCAAATTTGGGAGCAGATGGGCATGAGCATGGACAGGGTGTGTGGCACCTTTTCTACATTGCATTTTGCTAAATTATTGCAGTCTTCATAAGAGAATATATTATATATAAATCCATCTGAGTCATCACTTCTTAATTATTTTACTAAGCCGTTTCCTTTTCTATCATCAATGGGGTAAATATAAGAAGGAAAAATACAAACACTACATTACAGTATTTGTCACTCATTTGGTATATTCCTTTAAATGAAATTTCAGTATTGTATGCAGGGTAGAAATATTTCTTTGATGATTTGTTAATAATACTTTCATTTTTCCCAGCTGGATTCCGTCCTGCAGTAATACTAACAGCTGCAAGATGTTTCAGTGCAGAGTGTATTGAAGAATAAAAACAGAGACAATGTTGGGAAAGTTTCAGAATAAAGGTTCATGATGGACTAATTGCAACTTACAGCATTGTCGAATTGATATAAAATCCTCTTTTTCTCTTAAAATGAGTCTGTCTTTTTTGATCTCACAATTTATGTTTAGTTTCTACATTCACACATTTAAATCTTAGGCCATTAATGTTAGTGTATAGTGTTCAAGCTGCTTATGTCAACTATGACTTCTGAATATATTTAGGAAGACTTTTAAAATTATACATGGTAATGTAATAGGCAAAAGAATGGAAGTTAATGATGAAGGTCGGACAAACATTTTAAAACCAAAACTGCAGTTGTTGTGTCTTAGCATGTTGTAAGGGCAACAAATATATTTTATGTGGTGGCTGTGGAATTTGTTTTCTTTTTTAGCGGATTTGTTACAACAGGAAAATAGTGTAGAAGTATGCAAAGCAACTATCTTATCCCACTCATTCTGCTTACTGACACTGAAGAATTTTTGTTTCCTTTCAGATGCGGTTTCTACATCTGCTTACTCATCACCAGCCAAAAGTTTGGGAGACCCTGGAATAACTCCTCTGTCTCCATCACATATTGTGGTAAGAAATGTACTCTTAACAAACTGTACGTTGACATTACTTTCTCCTGCCTGTTTGATTTGATGTAATTTTTTAGAAAGTTGTCATTTCATTCCATAGTGATCCCTTTTAGGCTACCTGTAGTCTTAAGTGAAATTTTAGTAACAATGGAGTTGGTGACAGAGCTCTCATTCATTTCATTGGGGTCCCGGCTTTGCTTCTTTTTGGTCTACTTGCTGAGCTAATCAATTTGCTCCTGTATATTTTTATATCAAACACAGGGGCTTCTTGGTCCTCAGGGTTGCCAAATTCTGTCTCTGTCTTTATCACTGATTTGTTTAGGCAGCTCCTGAAAAGTCTCATTCTATTCAGAAAAAAAGGAGATATATATAGATATATGATATTCAACAGTAAAATCCGAATTCCCAGAGAAAAGAATCTCCTCCAGCATAGAGAGAGAGAGGGTCAAAATAGAACTGTTTTAGTTTCTTAGGAAAATAGCCACCTCTGTAAGCTTTTAGAAGCAAGCTAATGTCCCATAATGGTAGTGTGTTTTAATCTATTATGTATCACGTTTATTTTATCGACAAACTCCCATTAAAACTAAGTCCCATCTGTTTTTAAGATCATCTGCGTTATCTCTAATACAGTATATACATTTCTTGATATTGCGAGGGATCATGTTCAGAACACATTGCTACCCTTGTGGATTTCTTCCTCAACTTTCTGAATCAAGTTCAGAGTTGTACAACATCCCTCTTCAGGGTTTCTAGAGTTCTGTCATAATTTTTTTGCTTTTATTCCCTTCTTTCTCCATATACTCTAGAACTTCCCCTTTTACTTCTGTCATACTGATGAATTTATGTCCTCTTTCAGTTAGATTTGTTCCTTAAACTCTTCGAGGAAGACATATAAATAACATATTGCACTAGTTGAAAAGATTGAAGTTGAAAATGTAGGGGTACGATAGAAGGTTGCTGGAAGTAACAGCCATGGAGATACCAGAGATACACGAGCAAGATGGTGGAACACTGCTCATAGAGCGAGGGCATTTGGCAGTTCCTCTGTAAAACATGATAACAATTGCTTCAAAATGTTATCGGGAGTACAGGCTGGACAGCAGTGGTGGGGGATTCAGAGATGACCTGCGTAGTAATAGGTCAACAGGTCTGTTCCATGGTGATTTTGCCAAAATGATGTGTGTGCTGGTGAGGGTATTACCCTCCTTCACTATCTAGCTCCTGTAGCACATAGCCCTTACACCAGTGGTTCCAGCTTGTTCTCTTCCTGTCTTGCTAAGCTATTCGTGCTTTAGCTGCCATCAGCATGTGAATAGTAGTTCCTTACTGTTCATTACTTATTCCTCCTTTATATAGGATTATGTTAGGCAACAGCATACTGGGGAGTGGTACAATTCCTTGTTTGTTCATGACATGCTTTATACCGCATCATTATGATTTGGACCATAACCCTTACAACCTCTTCTAGTTAAAGTTCCCACGTTGCCCTTGACTGTGCTTTTCAGGGATTGCAGGTAAAAGGCAGGGAGAGGGATTCAAATTCACTATGAGCAGCTGAACAGCTTTCCACGTTCTAGCACAGGCAGGAGGAAAGAATGAATGTAGTGCTTACAAAGTAAGTGTTAGGTAAATTCTTCATAAATAAATAAATATCATGGGATATAAAGCTTATTGCTGTATTTTGGGTTGTTCTGTCTCTACTAGTTTGGAATGATAGTAGTACTTCATGTTCAAGTTTGTGACATAGGTAACTCCTAAGACCACCAAATTAAGTCCCAAATATACCACATTGACGGAAATAAACATATTCGTCAGTTGATCAATTTAAGGAAAAAAAAACCAAACAGCCCCAAAACCAATAACCTAGTGTTTAGCCATAAGTTTTAATGATACATTATAATAGCTATTCCAAGAAAGGAGTATGAAAAAAAACTCATGATTCAGAAGGTTACGTACAAAAGGCTCCAGCAAATACATTGAATTGTATATTGAATTTCCACTTCCATTGGAATGTGGAGCTTTCTGGTATCAACTTGGGTCACAAATGCCGCTTTAAAGCCCTTATTTCCACTGAAGAGATATGCATGTCTCGGAGAGCAGAAATATTGAAGAGTAAGACAGGTTGCAGTCATTCTAATCAGTGACTCAGTGTCTGTTTTGCTTCTGCTATTTAACAGAAGGACTCTGATGCAGATGATGCTGTAGAACAGTTATTTCTTGTTGTTGTGGCTATTGATTTTGGCACAACATCCAGTGGCTACGCCTACAGCTTCACCAAGGAACCAGAATGTATTCATGTAATGAGGTAAGGGCTGCAATGCAGCATTTAGTTTTTGATCGTGATAACATGGATTGTCTGCAGTGGCTGTAGATATTTTCTACAGGAGCCTGAAGTGTCTAGATTTGTCTAGTGTTACCACAGTGTAGAACTTTCTCATGGTTACAGTTTTTTGTTGCATCTTACTGTATTCTAATTTGCTTTAATAATCAATGTGAACACATGCACTCTCTGTTATTTTGCTGAGTTTGCAAGATGACATGAGTAAAAGGAGGGATCAGCAAGTACTTAGAATTGTTCATGGAGCAGTGATAATTATTAAGTCAAGATGCCCTTATCTCAGTTTGAGAGAAACTACACATTTATTAAGAGTCATGGCATTTCCCAGGAGCTGCCCATCTCCTGGAATCATACTTGCATACAGTTGTGTGTACCACACTTAGTTACTTGCACCCAGAAACTGGTAGTTCATTTGGCTGATTTAACCTTTTTAGCATTAAATTCAAATCAAATCCCTGGTAACGAACCAATGATACTGAGAAATAAAGCAATCAAAAGGCATGAATGTGAAAATTAAATTTTGATGTGAAATCTGTTACGTATTATATGTATGTAAGGGACAAATTTTAGATGCTGTTTTGTAGCACTTTTTTTTAATTTCTTGATAGATTCAGTACTATGCAATCAGAAATGCAAAAACTATTATGACAGGTACGTCAAAGGATTTCACTACAAACCATTTTTATGATGTTTTTGATTTTTAAAAGATTTTTTTAATAACTAAAAGCTTACATAATTCTTATTAAAGTATCTTTAAAATGACTCTGGTAACAAGACCCAGATATAGATAATTGCAGACATAAGCAAGGTATGTATGAAAATCTTAGCCAGAGAAGTTCTTCTAAACAAAGCTGCTGTAAATAACAGTAGGTAATCTACTGTTTTAGCACTGTAATACTGAGAACAAAAGGGCAAAAAAACTAATTTGCTGTAGTCCAGTGTGATATACTGTAATTTTTCTAAGCAAAGATGGTAGCTGAATGCAGCGCGCTCCGTCTCAGCAGACAGTATTGATTGTGCAGTCAGCCTGCACAGTTGGTCTGTATATGGCTGTGAAGTATTTCAGGGATCTGACACGACTGGGTGACGTGAAATAATGTCTGAAGGGAGATAAATTTTGGAATGGCAGTAGGCCATCCGGTTGCAAAGATACGTACCATTTTCAGTACAGACAGGTAACGCTTCAAGGCCTTTTCTGCATCCCATTCACCTATTGTTCTGCAAACAGCACAGGAAGCTGCATCATGCTAGATGTCAAAGGACAGGCTACATTTTGCTGTCTCAGGTTACTGGGTTATGGAGTCAGAATCCATGTATATCAATTCCTATTCTCTTTTGACAGTAAATAATTAATCAAAATTCTTAAAGAAGTTGGCTGAAGTGAGAGAAGACATCTCTGAAGCTGTACCTGAGCAAGCCTAAATCCTAAATATTGTGTTGTTTCTATAACCTCTGTGGAGATTTTACTATGTGAAATCCCTACTGGTTTTAGGGATGTTCTTTAAGTGCTCTGGGCTCAAAATTTTACCTTGGAACCTGGTTTTGCCATGGGGTTCACACTATACTGCGGTAAATTGCAGACTAGATTCTCCTTCCAGAGTACCAGGCTTCACACTGTAGATCACTGGGACATTGAAATCTAGATGCGGTGTGGCCAGCTGAGATGATGTTCCAAATCTTAATAGACGTTTTACTACTTATTTTTTTACCATGTTTTGTTCCTTATGTAATAATGGTAGCGTGAGTGTGATTTCAGACCTGTGTAGATGATATGAGAGATACTGATGTAAAAAGAAATGAAGTAAATTAATTCATACATTTCCAATCAGAAGGGAAGAACGTATTTTGGGAGGGGAATGTATTCAGATTTCCAACAGGCATTTCAAACAATGGAAAATATTTTAATACCAAGAATGATTTGTTTTGTTTTGTTTTAAATAAATATAGCTGGCAGGGAAGGATTTTTGGGAAGATATAGCTGAAACTGACTTATGAAATAATGTATATATTATTTTTTATATGTTTATATATGAATACTCATGAGATCATGAAATTCATTTAAAAGAATGGTATATGTATCAAAATAAGGCTTCAGTAGTTCAGAAGGTGTTAAGAGGTTCGAACTCTGTATATAATGAGGCTTACATGTAGGATAATTTACAAATAATTCAGCAGAGTAAATGTAACTTCCCGCCTGAACTGGAGAATGTTTACATTAAAATAAAGCATGCCAATGATGCATGGTCCTCTTTGCTTCCTAACATTTTTTCCACTTTCCCTCCTTAGTGTTGATCCTTTCCAGACATTTAGATTTCTGTCTGCCTTTTAACAAAGCTGCTTTTCTGTAAATGTCTCAATGAAGGGTAAGATGGGTTTATTTAGAAGGTCCTACTTCTGAAAAGAGTGAACACGCAGGGCTTTAGTACCAAGTTTGAGTGTAGTGTCAGCAAAGTCGTGATTGTACTCATGTAATTGGTAGACAGTCATGTTTTTGATTGCCTGTGTTTATTTGCTGTGATGCCCAGTACTTAAAGAAAGGAATTTATAGGCATTGACCTAACAAGTTCTTTAAGCATATACTTAGCTTTAAATGTATGAGTAACCTCACTCACTTCAGTGGATTAAAGCATGTGTTTGGAGTTGGGTGTGTGTTTCTATATGATTGATGAATGATTTTACCTTGATTGCATTAGGTATAATAACATTAGGTATGTTATTTATCAGTTTTAGGTAATACTTCACACCTGTCAACTCTTACTAATTCCCCACAGCTTCTGTAAAGATAGTTGTGGTTACCGTCAGGCTCTTGTTGCAGAGTAAAAGTATATGTTACGATGAGTGCTATTTTCTGCGTACCTTGAGACTGTGAGTAAATGCATATGAACAGCCTGGCCATGAGTTCAGCAAGCACTTCAGCGGGCAGGGCACTGCCAGAGCTGTAATGACAGAGTTCGGTGCTGCAGAATGAGTTAATAACGTCGTCTTTGAAGGGAATACACGAGGTCTTACATAGTTTTGAAAAAGTCCTATTGATTAACATGCACCTATGTGAAGTTGTGTTTTGGCTGCTGGTTAAATAGCAAAAAACTGAATGTGTTTCACAAATGGAGAAAAAATAAATGGAAAAACGCATGTGATCATGAAACAAATTGCAGCCCATCTTGGAAGGAGGGAGAAGGTGGTCTTTTTTCAGTGTAACTTCAACCTTCAGATTTTTCCTTTTCCTTCTCTTCTCTGTTTGATTGTAATTCTTGGCAGGCACATGCTTGTCTTTCTTCTGCGTACACACTCCTAGCAGCGTTCAGCTACGTTTTGATGACCCCACTGCTTGGCTTCCTTGACTGTTATGCTGCAGCTCTGGATCAAATTCTCATCACTCTGCACGGATCACTCTCTTTGCTCTGTTAGCCAGATTCATGTGTAAGGAAGGGCATTTCTCTAACCTTAGTATAACCTTGTGATCCTTTCCACACTAACTTTCCTCCTGTCTCTATTTTCACTTTTAATATACAGTCAGATCCTCTGTGGCTATAAATGGGTCTATACGGCTCTGTTGAGCTACTCCACTTTATTTCAGCCTAGGACCTGGTCTCATATGTCTGGATCTAGGCAGAAATCTACCTTGGGTTCTGCTTGAATAGATTTTTAGCTCTGACCCTGCTTTGAGAAGATATCCCCCACATGCATTTAGAGTGCTGCTGCCTTGCATTAGGTCATGCTCTTAGTAGGCATTTTTTTCCCCTAATGGCATTATTACCATCATTTGTAATATTGGGACCATGAAAGAAAGCTGCAAACTAAAGTGTTGAAATCCTAGCCTTACTACTAGAAGCCTCTGGAGTGAGGCTTGGGCTCCACCTGAGAAGAGTGTCCCAGTCAGGAGTTACCATGCACATCCCTTTTCAGCTGCTTCTCTCTAGAAAAGATGTCACACTGGAGTATTTTTAAAGCTCTGATTGCAAATGGTAAAGTCGTATGTCCTCTTCTGTTTCTTTATTGCTCTGTCTGTGACTGAGCAGTAATACAGGCTGAGAACTTTAGAACTTGCTGAGCAATTACTGTGTCTAGTTTCCATCAGAAATTCATCAGGAAGTGAACATCCAATTCCCTAGGTGGTTTTGAAAATTTCAGCCCATACCAATGAGCATCAATTTGTCTTCATTTAAACTGCACCTTAAGTGTGCTTATTCCGGAAAAAGAAAATGTGCCTAGCTGTAAATAAAAATAAAGAAGTATTGCTATTAGCCACATCCTATTTATGGAATTTCCCACTGGTGACTCAGAATGAATCATTAATGCTTCCAAGCAAAAACGATACCAGTCTGTCTCCTCTCTGCTTCCAGCAGGTGTGTGGGATTTAATGTTCTGGTGAAATAGGCAGTGCTTTCTGTTCATGGGCTGTGGGCTCCCAGCTTCTTCACATTGGAACCATATGGTTGCTGTAACACCTACTCAAAGATTTTGGAGTTGACCAAGTACATTTTTAGCAGCAGGTTAGAAGAAATGACCTGGAGCAGAGCCCTTGCCAGCTAATAGCTTTGGGGCTGAGCAGCGGGACTAGGGAGATTTATGGAAGTTTTTTCCGAGTGGATGAATGTGGAAATCATTTCACTTCTCATCATACTGTTTCTGTTTTCAGAGTGGTAGAATTGCCCTCTATACTGAAATAAATTCATAGACATGTGGTGATTCCCTGCAATCAATGCTGCTGGTGGAAAAAGGGGCAGATTTTGCTCTGTTTGATTTAGTTGAATGGTCTGAAGGGTTCCTGGCACTTCAGAAGATCCTGTTCTTTGTTACTTTGCCAAGTACTAACTCCTTAGATTGAAATTCTCCATGTCAGTTGTCTGCCTTGGTCTGGAGGCCGATTAATTTTCAATTGGCTCAACTGTTTCTGAGAGTGAAATGGAAAAGATTTTTTTCTACATAAGCTTCCTATGTCACATAAACAAATACCACAGAACAAGTCAATCCTTTTGTGCTTCAGAACAACGCCTTTGGCAGTAGTATATTATGGAAGTGCCTTTTGCTATCTTTAGAAAAAAACGATAAACATGTGGTTTAATAATGAATGCAGTTGCCTGTGTGATCTTAACTTGTCTCCTGTTTGAGCTGCGTTATAATTATGTCTGAGAGCATAAAGCAGATTTTCCACTGATTTATTTTTGAGAAAATGTTGTCTGGTAAGTGTTTGTTTCCCATACTGAAAGTAGATGTATATGAGGTGGAACAGTAATGAGAGTTCTTACATTCTGCCTTTTTTTGTGATGGAGAAGTGAGGAGAAGACAAGAATGTTCAGAGCTGTCTCTGTGGTACGACATTCTACTATCTGACATTGTCGGCCCCCATGCCCCCAAATTCCTGCGGCATTCAATGGCTGTTCCCATATTCAGTGTTCTTGCTTAGTTCCTTATCCATTCTGTGAAAGAAGCCTTCATCTTAATACCTTTGTATTTCTTGGGCCTTCCTGAAGATAACTTTCACAGTCTTGATAAGATAGGATAGTTTTATTCACTGTTTTAATGGATGGTGGTGAGGGAAATATTTTGGTGCCTATAAGATAACTGGGGGTTGAAGGAGTCTGCTTAAGTTTTGACAGGCTAAAATTTTTACAGCATTTGGGTCATTTAAAACACAAAATCCATCAACTACAGGTGAGTCGAATGCAATGCAGAGCATTCAACATCTGCAGACATGTCTTCAGAGTTTCAGATGTCCAGGAAATTAGGCACAAGAAGAGGTGTCGGTTGAACTGGCTGGTGTTGCTTCAGAGAGCATTCTATGACGGAAACACGGATTTAATCCACTTCTCTGCAGTGGTGTTCAGCTGACTTAAACAGGTCCATATTTCAAAATGGGGAAAAATCCCCCATACAAGTAAGCATGTGTGAAGTCTGAGTGACAATTGGGTAGGCCATTTTGAGAATTTGGGTTTTAATTTGCAGAGTCCTTGGATAATTACTTGATTTTTTTCTTACAATGTTTGTTACATATGTATGTTTAGTTTGAAACTGTAATTGTTAATTCCTTGTTAATTGTGTGTGGCTTACTTTAAGGAACTGGTATTCTTTTCAAAGACAGAGTATGATTATGTCCTTAAAAATTATACAACTAACTGCAAAATGTATTGAATTGTCCAAAATTAAAATTACAGTCCTCTTTTCTTGGATGTGCATAAAAACACTTGGTTTTAGTATTATAAGGATTGAAATTAGTATCTTTGGAGGGGAAAGCAGCGTGTGCTATCTGCCACCACGTTGTTTTTCTCACAAGATACTACTTTTTCTGCTGCTCTAAGCATTAGTATCACTTACTGAAGCTGTTTCTCTTGTTGGATAGGCGATGGGAAGGTGGAGATCCAGGCGTATCCAATCAGAAGACACCAACTACTATCCTGCTGACACCAGAAAGAAAGTTTCATAGCTTTGGGTATGCAGCAAGAGATTTCTATCATGACTTGGATCCCACTGAATCAAAGCACTGGTTGTATTTTGAAAAGTTTAAGATGAAGCTGCATACCACTGGTGTAAGTAATAACCAACTCTCTTGAATAATTGTGCGTTTACTACTCGCATCATCTTTCTGTGGACAGTGCTAAGTTTTGCCTAAAGCTTGTGAACTAGATGTGAAGCATCTCTGTTCCTACGTTTAGAGAGTAAATAAAGTAAATTAAACTTTTCAGTTAACATTTTGATTCATTTGGCTTCTCACTCCATTTGGCAAGTGTATTTTCCAGCCTTCTTTCTAGATCTTTGAGGTTCAATACCCACTTTGCTTAGATCTTCGTGTCCTAATTTTCCTGAGTGAAATTCATAGCCATTTAGGGAGTCTCCATGAGGTTGGTTTGTTGTATAAATTTACTCAGAAAGCAGAAGTAGAATGTAAGAGCCAGACTGAACTTTAGTGCAGGGGAGCAAATTTACCCAGAGTTCATTGTCAAAACTGCAAGTGCAAATCATGCTGTTAATTTGACATTATTCCT